GTTGCACCAACGGGTATTTTAGGTGTAATTGGTGCTGCTGTTGGTGCTTATTTTTTTAAAAAGAATCAAACTAATTCATCAACTAATGAAAATGGAGGATTTTTTTGTAACTTGTTTAGTAGTAATTTTAATGCAAGTAAAGAAAATAAATCAGAAGAAAAATATTTACTTGTTGGAAACATTTCATAAAGTTCTTCTGCTGCATTTGCATTACTATAACAAAAAAAACGGAAAAAAGGCATTTTTAAAATATTTTCATTCAATATAATTCATTCATACGAGCTATCGGCTGCTGATCCACCAAGTGTATCACCACTACCAGGTAGTAAAGCTGGTGCTTTTGATACATTTAAACCAAATAAAGCTACAGCATCTTCTTCAATCCATACAGCTACTTCTTGAAATTGTCCTTTAAAAATAAATTCGAATACGTTAGTTTTTTTCTTTCGACAACAAACATATATTGACATACCTGCTTGTTCTACTCTTCCATAAAATCCAACTGAACATGAACCAATTCCACCACTCTTTGTGGTAACAATAACATCACCTTTACCTTGTCCATGTCCTGCATAGGCAATAATTTTATTTGGACTTATCCAAGTAGCTGATGCTCGACAATCATCACCACAAACTTTTAAACCAACGAAATCTTTTTCATCAAGTCCCAAATTTTCACCACGAATTGTTATTTTTATACCTGGACAACCCTCACGAGGTGATATACCAGTTACAAGTGGTGTCGGCATTTACTAATTTCTATTTAATATCTAAAATATAAACTAATCTTGCACATTTATTGGTCAAAATTACTCTATTTAGAGACTTATTCAATCTTTTATTCGAAAATCATGATTTTATTCATTTCATAAATTAATGTTTAGATTTTACATTTTATAAAATTTCTACTTTTTTATAATTAATTACAATATATGAAAGCAATCGAATTATAGAAATGAAATGATTAAAATAGTAAAAAATATAGTAGTTGAATTAAACAAGAAGAATCTTAATGACACATACATAGCGATAAGCATGAATCAAATGAGTTAACCAATCATGTATAGACAGAATAGAGCACTACCATCCATGTAAAAAGCAGTTCGATGAATCATCTATAGGATAACGTAAAATGAATGGAGAAAAAAAAGAGATATTCCTTTGGATGGATATTCATATATTTCTAAGTCAAGATCATGACAGAATTAAATTCTTCTTCACCCTTATCCATTTTAATTGGATCATTTAATATAAATAAACGTTATCCACCTTCTGATATAAATCTTTCCTCATGGTTAACTTATCCATCTATTACTCCTCATATTGTTGCTATAGGTCTTCAAGAATTACCTTTAACTTTCACGTTTTCCCAACAAAAATCTGTATATGAATGGACACAACTATTAGAACAAACTTTACCAAACTATCAATTACTTTCTCATGTTCGATTAAATGGTAAACTATTGTATAATTACAATTTTTAATAATCTCCATTTATTCAATAGGAATAATTCTTTTTATTTATATACAATCATCACATTTTAATCAATGTTCATCTATTGCTACAGCTAAACTTCCAACAGTAAACTTTTTTAAAATTAAAATAAGAAAAAAAACGTTTTCTCTTCAAGGGTTTTATGAATATCTATGGAAATAAAGGTAGTGTTGGTATTCGATTTGAATTAAATCAAACATCATTATGTTTCTTAAATTGTCATTTATCTGCTGGTGAAAATTCCTATGCATTGCAATTACGAAATCAACAATATTCATTAATTCATCAACATATGTTATTTAAATCTCAATGTAAAAAATTTCAATGGAACATCAATAATCATAATGGTGTATTTTTGTTTGGTGATTTAAATTATCGTCAAACAGAAACAAATCAAGATGAATTACAAGAAAAAACAGATATATTAAAAACATATTCAGAATTCAAAATTCAATTTCCACCAACGTATAAATATAAACCTAATACAAATTCCTATGATTTATCACGTCGTTCATCATGGACAGATAGAATATTATATCGAAATAATCATTGTCGAATACAATCAATTAATTACTGGACAACATCAATGATACGTTTTAGTGATCATCGACCTATAGCGAAATTATTTTTCTTATCACGTTTAATACATTAATTAGAATTGAAGTGTATATTTATTTATTTTGTTCTCTTTTTATATTATAGATGGCTCTTCTTAATCGTTTGAGAATACAATTTAGTGGAGATACAAAACAATTACAAAAACAAACAGATGCATTAAAAATTGGAATTCTTGGCGCAGCTAATATTGCGAACATCGCATTAATTAATCCCGCAAGTAAATTGCCCAATGTTTTAATCTATGGTATTGCTGCAAGAGATCGACAACGAGCTGAAACATTTGCAAGAAAACATTCTATACCAAAAGTAAATATTTTATATTATATAAAAGCAAAAATAAAATTATTCATTTTAGGTTTATGATAATTATGATGAATTATTAGCTGATCCAGATATAACAATGATTTATAATCCATTACCAAATGGTCTTCATTATGAATGGACAATCAAAGCTTTACGTATGGGTAAACATGTACTTTGTGAAAAACCATTAGCGAATAATACGGATGAAGCACGAGATATGGTTGAAGAAGCTAGAAAACAAAATCGTTTACTTGTTGAAGCATTTCATTATAGATATCATCCATTTTGTAATGAAACATTAAGAAATATTATGTCGAATAAAAATGATATTGGTGCTATTCAAAATATATCATGTACTTTTACTGTTCCAATAAGTTTTATGCAAAATAATGATATACGATTTCAATATCCTCTTGGTGGTGGTGCTCAAATGGATCTTGGTTGTTATTTAATATCAATGTGTCGATTTATTGTGAATACATATAATAATCGTAATGAGAATGACGAAGGTCAATTTGAAATACAAAAAGCTGAAGCCTTACGAGTTTCTCCAACGAATCCTCAAATTGATTATGGTATGAGAAGTGAATTTCTATTAGATGGTATAAAATGTAATACTTATAATGAATTTACTAATAATTGGTCATTTTTCAAACATCAAATAGTAGTTGAATGTGAACGTGTAACGATTACAATTGCTTATCTAATTGCACCAGTTTTTTATCATTATTTAACAATACGTCAACGTGATAGTGGTCAAACACGTACAATAAAAAATTATAGTGATAATCAATCAACTTATTATTATCAATTAAAAGCATTTGCAGAAGCAGTTCGAACGATTCAAAATGAAGGTTCAATTGATAAAGCATATGAAATAGCGTATACAACTGGAAAAAGTGGAATTCGTAATATGGAAATTATTGATGAAATTTATCGTAAAGCTGGACTTGTTGTACGAGGAACAAAGATTTAATTATTTGCTAAACGTTGATTTTCTTTGTACTGATCTATAGAGAACAAATCATGATATTAATTATTCTTTCTTTTTCTTTTTTATACTGAGAATATTTTGTTCTGGAATCCAATTCATTTTATTAAGATTATTTATAGTTGTTCGTTGTTTTTGATTATTGATTTTTATTGTTGACATGTCATTTTCATTTGTTTTAATATGTTTTATATATAAATTACGTATAAAATCTTCATTTGGATAAATATCTAGATAATCCTGACGAAGTTTATCATATATCATTGGAGCAAAATAACCAAATTCTTTAAAACGATTTTTTGGAACTTTAATAGAAAAAAATGAATTTAAAATGAAACTATTTAATGAATGAAGTATAATACTTGAGATAATATCTACCGTACTTCGAGTGAGATACCATGCATGATTTGTAGTAGATTCAAATCCAAAATAATGTCCATCAGAAAGAGTAAATACATTAAGAAAATGCCATGTTGTTTTTAGTTTAGAATTTCTATTCATCTATAGAAAAAATCAATAGATGTTTGAAGATAATAAAATTTTGAATTTTATACAGTTTGAAAATCAATTTTCTTCTTTATCATAGTGTTGATCTTTTCTGAAGAATTCGATATTTGTATAATATCTTTTTTCTGATCATTCCGAGTATGTTCAAATATTCTAGATGGAAACTCGAGTAAACGCACAAATGAAACTTGTCCATATAAAATAAAATAAAGATTATTATGTTCATATTCTTCATTTCCATAGATGATTTCATCAATTGAATATTGTTTATATTTTGACCATTTCAACTATTCATAAATTCATGTAAATTTATTTTAATCTAATAAAAATAAATTTACAAAATAATTTAATATATCATTTTTCCATTGAATAGAATTAAATGTTGATTGTAGTCGAAGTTGTTCAAATAATAATTGTTTCATCATATCCGACAGATAATTTTCATACGCCTTTTTATTATATAAAAATAATGATATTCTAAGAAATTTCTTTTCTAACTTACTTTAATATCTCTTAAAAAGAATACTATTAAATTACAATGAGTACTTTCATTTGTAATTAAACCATTTAAACGATAATCATCACCGTATACATCACCGATATTTAATTGATGACCAAATATCGTTGTTTGTTGAGTTTCAAGTAATAATTTACAATGACCTATGATAGATTGAAAACGATATAGTTTAAACTAAGAAAAATATTTAAAATACCATAAACAATTGTATAAACAAGAAAGGAAGGTAAATTTTGTCGAGTTAAAATCGTATTTGGATGATAAGTTAAAAGTAAAAGTGAACGAGCTATATAATTTAATTATGAAAATTAATAATAAATTGCTCGTTTTAACCAACCAGCATAAGAACGAACATTCGTTGGTAAGTGTCGAAGATTATCACAATTATTTAATAGATGTTCTAATATTTCAATATCATGTTTAGTACGTTGACGTGGTGCCTTAAATAATAACGAATAATTCAAAACAAAATTTTGAATTTAAAACCTTATTAATTGCTATCAGAGTTGCTTTTGTCATTAAGCCCGTCGTTTGATGAGAGATATGCAATGGTTGAATAAAATGTGTAGTCGATTTTATTGACTGTGAATTTGTTAGACTTATTTTTGATAGATCTGATTTCGGATTAATTGTATAGAAATTATCCATTGAAGCTGTTTCTTCTAAACTTATTTTTGATTCTGTATTATCGAATATAATTGTTGAAGAAAATCCTTTTTTATTTTTATAAGATAAAAGAAATACAAGAAAAATATTTCTTCATACGATTTGTTTGTGAAGAATAATTATTTATTATATTATAAAATTGAACAAGTACATGACTAATCAATGGATTATCATTAATACATCGTTTTATATTTTCTATATAATGAAGAATTGAATAAATTTTTGTATGTCGCCATTGCTGCTGTTCTTTTGTTATTTCACGTTTACGAATACATTGGCGAATATGTTCGATTAGGCGAATGAAATTTGGTGTTCTATTCAATCTATATGTTTCAATATCAATTGTATAATTCATATTTTATTATTCTTGCCGCGTTTATATTCTATGAGAAAAAAAGCCTTGAAAAATAAAGTGCACTGCTCTTATTTACATAACTATGTTAATCATAATTGAACATTTGTTTTACAATCATATCTATATCTAAATATTATGTAAGGAAATCTTAATGAAAGGCAATGATTGTATTTTATTGCATAGTTGAATAATGTTAGATCAGCTGTTTGTAACAATATGAATATTTTTTGCGTCAATTAGTAAAACGATTTATATCAATGAATAAAGACGAAAAAAAACACATCTGGAAAGTATGATTAATCATTTTAGGTTAAGTTTTTGATGATTCGATTTTCGACCATATGTGACTCGTTCTTTATTCCGTTGATAAATTTTATATTTGCCGTTCTCTTTCTTCTTTTTAAAGCGACATCGACAGAGTTCGATATAGTCCGCTACTACCATCAGTAATAGAAATAGTTTAAAGTAGCGCAGCTGTTCTCTTCCAGACTATTGAAATGACGACGATAATATTACATACAAACAACTAATGTCTTTTTTTTGCGTTCGTTTTTATCGAGGGTTTATTATTAGATGAAGTGTACTTTATCATTCGATATTGCGTTTGTTTGCGATGTATTCTTTTGATTTCAATCACACACATACATGTATATATATGTCTCTATCTATATGTGAAACTTTATATTTATAGATATCTAAACGATGACAACAACAAATACAATCTCAGCTAGTGAATTAGCTGAACAAAATGCTGAAGATACCTATGAACAATACGAAAAATATTTCAACGCTGGAAGGTAGTAATTGATTTTTTTTTTAGAAATTATAAATTGAAATATTTATTTTTTTTTTGTTTTATAATAGTGGCGGTAAACAACGCAGTAAAATAGAAGTTGAAATTAATTCCCAACGTCATGATGCTGGTGGTGATACACGAAAAATTGTTACTGCAATGGTTAACAATGAAAAGAATCGGTTACATGGACATAAATAAATATACAATAAAATTTTATCAACTTCTGTTTCTTATCTAATCATATACTCATTTAACTTTACGTAATCGTTAAGACAATATAACAGATATAATGAATTTTTTTTTTCTTGAATGCTTTTTTTCTTTTGTTTAAATATATATGTATTTACATTAGCAAATAAAGACACTTTAAAATTTTATATTTTTCTTTTATCGAGTATTTACTCATATGAATTCACATTTTCAACATCAAATAATTCGATAATTGATGCCAACGGAACAATTGTTCGAATGTGATGTATTTGTTAGTTAGGCAGTATGGAAACATTATTGCCAGAGGGTTTGACAATATAATTTAATAGATAATATTGTATTACTTATACAACAAATGAATATAAGTTGTGTACGCGTTTATATGGTCGATTGATGTAACCCGTTTATCAATCACTTTTACGACTTCATCTAACATTAGCTGGTTTTATAGAAAATAATTCAGTGCTTGTTAATAGATAATTAAAAAGAAATGAAATCAAAATCGTTCATCGATATTCTTTCAATCATGTAAACAAAACAAGACAAAACTATAAATGATTGTTTACAAAGATATTTAAGAAAGAAAAAAAAGAATCATCGGATTTTTTTTAATTTCATTACATTGTTGGCATGGACATTTGAACACCCATTGCTGTTGCATCTTCTTGTCTCCATTGGGAAGTTACTGTTTTTAATTGTGTATAGAAATTCATACCCTAATAAAAAAAAAGTCATGTATAGAATAAAGTAAAAAAGAAATACTTTTCGTTTCTTACATTTTTTCCATAGAAATTTGTATCACCTCGAAATGAACCACGAGAGCCAGTAAATGAAAACATAGGAAGTGGTACTGGAATTGGAACATTAACACCAATCTATATAATCATTGTTTTAGATTTTTTTATTATTTATCATACAAAAAAATCTATTTCAATTTACTTGTCCAACATCAATTTCTTGAGTGAATTTTCTTGCTGTAGCTCCATTTGTTGTAAAAATAGCAGTACCATTACCATATGGATTATCATTAATAACTTTGATAGCATCATCTAATGTATCAACTGACATTGAAACAAGTACGGGGCCAAAGATTTCTTCGGTATAACATTTCATATGTGGCTAAAAAAAGAATTATAAATTTAAGAAAAACAAATATTTAATTCAAATTTTACTTTAACTTCATGTAACATAGTTGGACCAACAAAATTACCATTTTCATAACCGCGAACTTTAATATTACGTCCATCTAAAAGTAATTTTGCACCTTCATTAACACCGGATTCAACTAGTTCAAGTACACGTTCTTTGGCTTTTTTTGATATAAGTGGTCCTAAATCAGCTGTTGGTTCATGACCAGCATTAACACGTAATTTTTTAGCTTTTTCAACAAATTCTGGAATCCATTCGCGTGCTTTACCAACAAATATAGCTGTTGATAAAGCCATACAACGTTGACCAGCAGCACCAAATGCTGCACCAACAAGCTAAATATAAATAAGCATATAAAACACAAACAATCTCTTCTATCATATATACATACTTGATTTAATGCTTGTTCTTTATTAGCATCAGGCATAATAACACCATGATTTTTGGCACCCTAAAATAAAACAAGAAGATGTATATAAAACAAGAAAAAAAAGGATATTTATAATATCTACCATGTTACATTGTACACGTTTGCCATTTTGTGAGCCTCGTTCATATATGTAATTACCCTAAATAATTGATGTGGAGAAAATATTTTAATTTAAGAAAAATGATCATTCTTACAGCTGTATCAGATCCAACAAATGATATAGCTCGAATATCGGGATGATCACAGATGAATGTAACAGCTTAAAAATTAAAAAGATATAAACAGAATGATTATTTCCTGTTTACCTTCATGTTGGCCATGAATACAATTAACAACACCATCAGGTAAACCAGCTTCTTTAGCTAATTGAACAAGCATCATACATGCACCGGGATCTTGTTCAGACTAATCATCAATCATAAAAATTCATTATTTCATAGTTTAAAATAACTTACTGGTTTCATTAACATTGTATTTCCACAGACAGCGGCCACCGGGAACATCTATATATAAAAAGACATTTTCACATATTTTTTATTATTACAAATTCAAACAGACCCAAAGTGGAATCATTGCTGGAAAATTAAAAGGTGCAATACTAAAATATAAAATTTACATCAAATTTTCTTAATTTAAATAATATTTAACTAACCCTGCAGTAACACCTAATGGTACTCGATAACTATGAATGTCCATATCTTTTGCAACGCTATGCATTGTTTCACCGGTTTGCATATGTGTTACTGAACAACATGATTCAACAACTTGTAAACCACGTAATGTTGAACCTTCAGCATCAGCAACTGTTTTACCTTGTTCTCTTGAAATATTTTCTGCAATTTTTCTCTAAAAATATTCGTTTTTTTGAAATTTTTTTTTAAAAATAATGTTATATACAAACCATATTCTTTTTAATGAGATCTTGGAAACGAAACATGATTTGTTGTCGTTGAAGAATAGTTGTTCTTGACCATGTACGGAATGTGTCTTTGCAATTATCAACAGCTTCGTTCATTTCAGCTTGAGTACTTTTTGGTACTAAACCAATAACTTCATTTGTTGACTAGACAAATTTAATAAAAATAAAATCGAATATTTTAACAACGGAATAACTTACAGGGTCGGTAAGTTCAATCCAGTTATTAGTTTTTGATTCAACAGCTCGACCATTGATCCAATTTTTTATAGTAGGCTATTTAAATCGAATATGAAATGTACTTTTTACTTGTTTTTTTGTTTTTGAATAAACTTACTGGTTTTGATGAAGAACTAGCACATCGAATCAAATGCGAAGTCTATAGTTATTCAAAAATAAATAAATAAAAGAAGACATAAAATAAAACTTACCGACAAATTTTTTGCACCAACGGAATGAACTAATGAACCGCATCGAGAGCTGAAACTTATCATTTTCGTTATATGGTTCTTTGGATTACTGTATATCTAATAGAGAGAAAAAAACAATGTGTTTTCGTTTTATTATCAAGATGTTTTGCCCTTGAAAAACAATTTATTAAAGGTTTCGAGATAAGAAATGGCGAAGAAATATAAACAACAAAATGCAATAAAACAAACTAGGTCGAATTCTGTGACACACCTTACATTTTATGTCCGATAAAATTCATCCAATAAATATCATCTTTCCTCCGTGTATGGAATAGCGCTACCATCGCTTTTGGACTCCCTTATATCATAAGAAACGAAAACATTTCTGCTAATACCTTGACATCCTTTTATAATTTTAGAAAAAAAAATGTCAGTCTCTTTTTAATACCATAGTCGTCATGGATGTTCCAATCAAAAATGGCTTTTCTAATTCTTGCACAACTAGTTTGCAATAACAGTCTATAAAAACATATAATTGCTAATCAAAAACTAACAATAATTCATAAATGATAATGAATGATAAGATTTTTGCTGCTCTGTAAATGTAAAATGCAATTCGATTGAACAAATGTTACAAGTACTTGATACAATTAATTACAGCACATGGAACAGAATGAATCTGTTCACATGTTCTATAATTCAAAAACTGTTCCAGGCAGATTTGACAAATTATCATAATGTTTTCATACGAAGAGAAACGTAAGTTGATCATAATAAATCAGTAAGGGTAAATATTCTAATTTAAGCAAGTAGTTCAAAGTAACTACTAATCTTTTATGACAGTTCTTTATAAAAACAAGTAGGACACAAAAGGATTACATTAGTCAGTTGCGTGTTTTATTAAAGAAAACAGAATAATTTATTTACGATGCATGACATTTCATTGTATTTGTAGAGACTTTATATTATAACTATTCTTTTTTTCATATGTCATTTTAATTCTAAACATATAAATGAGGTGAATATATACTAACGTTCTTTTTTCAGAGGATTAAACAAAGATTAATATTATAAAATTAAATATAGTGAAATTATAAAGCATGATGAAGAATATTATTCATCTAATTGTATTTATTGTAATATATTATTATCACCAGAATAGATAATTATTTTCAAAGGTTTTATATAAAATATCTTTTTATCTTAACACACAAAAAGAAAGACATTTTTTTGATCTTAGAAATATAGTTTATAAAAGTTTTATTATATTGCATAAATGTCATATCTAGGGTAACTGTTCAGACTACTTAATGTATTTTATTTGGATCGTTGATTCGATACGATCCAGTCCTTGTTTCAAAAGAAGAAGAAACAGGTAATAGTACGGAAATAATAATAATTATTTCTTTTTTTGTCAAGAAGTGCATTCATTTATAAGTCGTTGTACTTTGTTAGTTTGCTCATTTAGAGTGTAGTTTCTTCTCGGTTACGAAAGTATCTTTCATTTGATGATGTTTTATATTTTTAATAGTACTAGATCGAACATGATTATGTATCCTTAATCGATAAGCTTTCATAGTGTTAGCTGTTAAGACAGCTCTATATTTAGTTTCATTTCGAGAAAACTTTGATCGGAAAGAGATTATATCTTCATTACGATTGATAGTATAACGTAAAAAGCTATTTTATGTTCAAAATCAGCCATCTCACGACATCTGTTTCATGTTCTAATATTTGAAAATGAAATCGTATTCGTATACAATTTTAATGATAGTCGATTGTCGATTGGCAGAAATATACTTTTTTTGTGTCTATTTTTGAGATATTCTTTGTTGTCTGTCTATCACTTTTTAACTTATTTATTCAATTAAACCAATATTATGTAGATGTCCAAATGTTGTTTAACTCGATGTCAACAAGATCGAAAAATAATTCGACGAGAGTTCAGTAGATGGTCAAAAAATATTCTTCTACAAATAGGTAATATAAAACTTCCTTCTCCTCTCAAGTACAAAAAATCCTTTTCCTTTTAAGCTTTAGAAGCAATATCAAAGGATTATTTTCAATATGATATCAATACATTTACTCCAACGAATGGTTAGATTAGAATACTCGAATTTCTCATTGAAATAATAGTTTCGTTGCTTTTCTTTTGTTATTAGATGAACAGATTCCAACTGATTTCAATCCAAATGAAAGCTGTTTATTTTGTATAAATTATGAAGAATATTCTTTAAATAACAATATCAATCAAGATAATACCCATTTTTCACTCATTGAAAATACGTCTCCATTAGATTTAAGTTTAACATCAGCATTAAATCTTAAGTAAAATAGAACAATCAATTAATTTCAATAAAAAAACATTCTTTTTAGTTTTCCATTTTGGTTTGATCTTAATCCAACTATTCTTCCAATATATCATCAAGATGATTACTTATTAACTAATCATAGAAATTCAAATTATCTATCACAATCATTTTCAAATTTGAATCCTTTTCCATCATCATCATACCAGACAACTTCTTTACTAGATAACTATATTGCTCAATTAGCGAAACAAATGGCTTATACGAGAATGTTAGAAGAAATTGAATGTCAGCGAAACAATCAAAAACCGAATTTTTTTCATTCATCATCAATTCTAACAGAATCAATGAATGTTAATCATATACTTCATGATATTATGATTCGTGTATTACATGAAATATTTGAAAAACAAACTAATAATGATGACAATTGTCTTATGAAGAAACAATATCAGGTTTGAAGATTGAGTTTAGAAGAAAAAAAGAACTTTATACTGTTATAACTGATTGTTTCATATACCGTTAAGATTTCCTTGATTAATGTTATTGAACCGTTTATTTTAATTTCCTTTAAACGGAAATTAAAAATAATTATTAAGTTTGTCGGAAAGAAAAAATAAATCATTATTTCTATAATTAAACTAAATTTGAAAGAGATTCAGATTATGTATTGTATTTTTCTTCAAAATAATCTATTAATTAACCATAAAAATTAAATATCGTTTGATATTTTCGCTTATATAACAAATCTGAAGTAGTCCATGATGGTTTTATCAGTTATTTAACGATGATTCGAAGAAACGAATTTATTACGGTTACTTTCATTTATCTAGGATAATAATCAATTTAATCAGTCAATATCAAGTTCTTCTTCTTCATCATCATCATCATCATCAAGTACATCTTCAACATATTTATCATCTATTCATGACAAGAAAAAGAATAAATTTCAATTAAAACTATCATCTACTTCTATATCTAATCGAAGATCAAAAGATCGATTACACAATAATAAAATAATTATGGATATAGATGGAAAATCAATTCGTCCGAAACGTGGTCAATATCGTCGTTACGAATCTGAACAATTAACAAAAGCAGTTGCAGCTGTACTAAGTAATGAAATGTCAGTACATAGAGCTGGATCATATTTTGGTGTACCACATTCAACAGTAAGTCTTTAAAATTATGTAAAATAAAATACAAATTTAAAACTGATTTAGTTGGAATATAAAGTAAAAGAACGAACTTCTAAAGTATCAACAACAATGATGGATAAAATTATCGATATCAGCTCATAATAATAACAATTATATCTATGAAATTTAGTAAGTTAATGTTTTAAATTAATTCATAAGTAGATAACTTTGACAATAGTTTCATTCCGATTAGCTTTATATTAAAAAGCACAAGTCTTTTAATGATTTGAACGTAATATTATATATAATTCCGTTATATGTTTTAGATGACATTGACGTCAATCAATTTATTTTTTTATACATCTACAAAAGAAAACAAATTTTATTATTATATATTTATTTTTAACTAGTCAAACAAGAAGTAAAAGTATTTCTTAATATATTGAATCTTTTTAATATAATATTTTTTTAAATTATATGTTTATATTTTGTATATTTTCTTTTTTTTGTTAATTATGATTGAAATATGTTGTATTTGTTTTTTGCTGTCTAAGAGTAAATAAATAAAAATTTTATTTTATGTTTTGTGAAATAATAGGAAAAAATCGAAAATTTTGTTTTTTTTCTATAGATAGATAAACGATATTGGATGAAAATTTTGATTTTATTCAACAAAGTCATCATTTAGTAAGAAAATATTCGAATATGATGTCGAACAATTCAATTTCGTAAGCCATATATTATATAGAAATGTGTTTATTTATTTCGAAGAATTACCAGCAGATCATTAAACGTTTTGAGTAGATAGGCATCTTTCATAAGAAACTTATCTAAAAGATTTTAACATTTGTTGCTCGGATTCAGACATCCTTTTTGATCAATCACTTCTATTTTATCAATCGCGCTTTTTTCAACTTTCCTTTTCATGTGTTCTTTTTTTTCTCGTTTCATGTAGAAATAAAATTCATTTCAGATTGTTATTTGAATACATCTTATAAAATCATATGTCTGAAAATCGTTTTTCGATTGATTATGCCAAACTTGGAACATCAGCGTGTAAAAAATGTAAAGCAAAAATTACTAAAGGCGAAATACGTATTGCTAAAGTAACGCCTAGTCCATTTTCTGAAGGAGATACAATGAAAGTTTATCATCATGTACCTTGTATATTTGAAACGTTTCTTCATGCTCGAGCAACAACAAAAATTATTGAAAGTTCAACTGATATTGATGGTTGGTCAAATATAAGTCCTGCTGATAGAGAAATTATTTTGGGAAAAATTGAAGAAACTCAAGCATCAAGAGCCGAGAAAACATCGGGTAAATCACCAACAAAAAAAGTGACTAAAGCATCAACCACTGCTGCTTCTAAAAAACCAACGACTACACCAACAAAGAAAACATTAGCATCAGTATCATCATCAATTACTCCTGTACAAGTAGTAGAAGATAGTGATGATGATGATGATATTAAAATTATTAATAATAAAAAAGATGTGGAAGAAATAAAAGATATTACAACAACAGCAGCAGCAACAAATGGTGTTCATATTCCATTAAATGATGATCCTAAACATCCAGATAATTCATTCCGACAATTTCGTGGTCTTTGTACAAAAATTGTTGAAGTAAATGGACATCTAGCTAAAACAGCGATTGTTGAACAATTTATTACTTATGGAAGTGATGGAGAAAGTTATAAAGGTAAATCGAAAGTCTTACCATTAACTCGAACAATATCATTAAGTAAACATGTATACACTTTCTTTTAGGTAATTTAAGTCTCCTATTTCATCTGCTCTTACCAAGCAAAGGATATAAATCAATAATTTATAATTTAAAATCAAAACAATTATGTAAACTATTCTCAATAATATTTCATGAAAATGCAAGTGCAATGATTCAAAGATGTGAAGAATGTGGTGGTAAGAAAACATTCTTCATTAGTTTAACGAATTTTTTTGTCATTCGCTTAGATGTTGCCGAAACAATAAGTGAATTTTATTCAGCAACAAAACATGTAAAACCACCACCAAAAACTCTTCTATCTAATTATGATATTGATAATTACCTACACGAATTAGGTCAATTAACTCGTGAACAAGATCAAATACAAGCATTACGTAAAATAACTGAAAAATCAACTGTTAATGATTTACGTATGTTTATTCGTCTCATTCAAAAAGATCTTGTAAATATCTAAATTATTATTTTATTAAAATAAAAAGTTACTTTTTTTTATTGCGTAGAAAATTAATGCTGGTCCAAAACAAATTATTGATAGTCTTGGTACAAATGCTTATGAAAGTTTTCAAGCAACAAATGATTTACAAACATTTATAAAACGTTATTTAGAACATAAAAATTCTGTTGATAATGGTACACAACTTAATAAACAATTAGCAATTCAAATTGAACTTATGACTCCAGGTAAATTCTATTTCATATTTTCTATAATTTCATTTTTTTTTTTCATATTTTAAGTTCATCCAATGCTTGCTGAACCATGTAAATCAGTTGATTTTGCATTTAAACGTTGTCCAAATGGTTTTTATGCTGAAATAAAATATGATGGCGAACGTTTACAGTTACATAAAGATAAAACAAATAAATTCAAATTTTTTTCTCGAAGTTTAAAACCAGTTGTAGAAAATAAAATTCAACAATTAAGTCAATATGTTTTACAAGCATTTCCAAAAGGTGAATCAATGATACTTGATGGAGAAATTTTATTAGTTGATAGAAAGTAAGATTTATTTTGTAGAAAAAATTTTTTTTTCCAATTAGAAAATATTTTATTTCTAAGAACAAAAAAACCATTACCATTTGGAACACTTGGTGTACATAAAAAGAAAGAATTCTCAGAAGCAAATGAAGCTTTCTTCATATTTGATTGTCTTTATTATAATGGAGAAAGTCTTTTACGTAAGTTATTTAAAACTCCAGATTAGGGATGCAACGGTGACGGTTAGTCACCAGTTCGCCGGTGATCGGTCCACCGGTGATCGGTCCCTCTTGAGGGCGTGGGTGGAGTGAGTGTGAGTGGGTGTGTGAGTAGGAGTCTGTGTGGGTGGACTTTAGTGATAGATGAAATAAATACCCACACCTACACCCTCACGATGAAACGGTTACCAGTTCAGACCGGCCACCGGTGGAACGGTTACCGGTTCAGACCGGTGACCGTCACCCTTGCGTCCCTATTCCAGATATTTATAAACTACTGCTCTCAAATACGGTAGAATATTTAATTTCAATCAGAAACTTACTGAAATGTGTTGATTTGTATAATTTAATAAAATGTTCTGTTGTTGTAATTTAGATATGACTTTAAAAGAACGTCGCGAAATTCTAAGTAAACATATGACACCAATTGAAAATCGTATTCTTCTTTCGGATTTAAAAACAATCAATAAAAAAAGTGAATTAAAACATTTAATTAATTTTGCAATTGCTGAAGGACTTGAAGGATTAGTTTTAAAGGTAAATATTATATAAATTCAATTTAAGATTGAACAAAGATATTTACTATTATTTGTTTTTAGAATCCTGAAGGAATCTACGAACCAAGTAAACGCCATTGGCTTAAAGTTAAGAAAGATTATCTAATGGAAGGTACTATGGCTGATACAGCTGATCTAGTTGTACTTGGTGCTTATTATGGTACAGGTAAAAAAGGTGGTTTAATGAGTGTCTTTTTATTGGGTTGTTATGATCCTGAAACTGATCGATGGTATACTGTGTAAGTAATTGTTTAATACTATGAAAGTATTTATTTATTTCTTTAGAGCAAAATGTGGTAATGGTTTTGATGATGCAACATTAGAAAAACTTCAAACTGATTTAAAACCTAATATGACAAAAATTTCTAAGAATCCAAATCAATTACCTAAATGGTGTAGTATTAGTCGCGAACTTATACCTGATTTTATTGTTATTGATCCAAAAAAGTCACCTGTTTGGGAAATAACTGTAATTTATTTTTTAGAATAAGCTTTGTTCTTTTAAATTAAAATTTTGTTTGTTTTTTATTAGGGTGCAGAATTTTCTAAATCCAAACAACATACAGCAAATGGAATATCTATTCGTTTTCCTCGTGTAACAAAAGTTCGTGAAGATAAAACATGGAAAGAAGCAACAAATCTTAATTATTTATCAGAACTTTTTGAAAAATCTAAACCATCAAAAAGAGAAAATGAGGATGATGAAGATGAAGAAAATCTTGTATGTTTATCTGAATTAAAAAGTTTATTTTTATATAATCTTCTCTAGTTTAATTTTGGTGATACAAATAATAATAATAATAATAATAATGATAATAATTCTACTCCAACAAAATCTACACCATCAAAGTCTACCCCAATAAAACGTAAACTACTTGAAATTGATTCTGATGATGATATTGAAATATTACCAAAAACAACTAAACTTATACGAAAATCATTACCAAATAGTTTACTTAAATTACATTTTCCTAATATATTTGATAACCAATATATGTATTTATCATCATCATTACCAACTGATGAATATAATAAATTAAAACGACATATTGAAGCATATGGTGGAAAAGTTCTTTCACCTAAAGATATTAATAATGATCTACAATTATCTCGTATAACACATTGTATTGGAGAAAAAGATGCAACATTCGATAAAATCGATGTAGTTAAAAAGAAAGTTCAAACAAATGTTACACATATATCATTACCAACAGTATATGTTTGGAAATGTATTGCAAATAAAGCAAAACTTTAAACATTCTTTTCTCTGTCTGATGTAAATACTTTTTTTTTGTAAAGTAAAAAATTGTCCCGGAATTTTTTTTTTTGTATTATTTGTGAATAATTTTTTTGTCTTTGGTGTTGTGATATTAGTCAAGATAAAAAAAAGTTATAGATTAAAAAATATAGAATAGATTTTATTATTAACAAATTTCAGAGATTTAGCTAGACGTTTGAAATATGATAATTTAGAATAATTTGTGCGATAGTGAAATATTATCAGATTTATTCAATATAAACAGCTTCTTGACGAAGGTGTATGTGGATGTAGGTGCGATCTATGCACAACGTAATACTCACACCCTCATACCCACTGGCTAAAAAGCCTATAACTTGTGAAGGGTATAACTCCGGCAAAAAAGGCCAAATCTCATGAAAATTCATGGTAAATACAGTGTTGTGTGCTCGACAAAATGGTCGAAACAGATTACTACACGAGCAGTTACGTCCCTCTTAAGTAGAGTATTGAACATTTTCTGTTTTTCTACTTGTTAATCCAGCTAATATCTTCATTAAAGAATCAGTATAAAAATAAATCGAAGATAACCTAAAAAAAGTAAAATAGATCAGAGTAGTATGTAATTTATTAAATTCTTCATTACCATATAGCCGTATATCTTCATTTCTTCTCGTAAACGACTATTCGCTATTGTGTATATTAGATATCGGAACATAGAACTAGATATTAACATTGAATCATTTCATTAAATATAAATATTATGAGCAGGACACGTAATTTAGTGATTCGAAAAGTTGATAAGCATTTATGATACTTTTTTGTTATAAAAATCAGCTGTTATCTATATAAAATAGACTGTTTTCATAAAGTTATACCAGTTGTTTTTCTCATACGTTGAATTTAATGATTTATTTCTAAAGCATATACTGTTCTCTATCAAACATCTAAGTATACTGAATGCAAAATATGTCTTCTTTTTCAATGAATTTTGAAAAAGTCATAACTTTTCTTCATATGTTATGACGTTTATATATTCGTAAGACAAACTTGTAACGATCGTGATGGTGTTCCATTTTAAACATAATTAGTTTTATATTATTTAACGCTATATCATCAAATACTGATTGTAGCATTAAAACGCTTAGTATTACTAGAACAAAACCAATTATGGTTCTATTACATAGGGTATGGGTGTGGGTGTGGGTGGGTATCTTTGTAGATATTATAATCATCTCTCACACCCATTATCACCCACACCTACACCCTTGCTCTCCCCCCTCCTTAATGAACATGCCAATCCCTGTCGACCTTCGCTAGGATCTATAAAGCATTGCAAGAAGTATGGTACTCGTAGCTACCACAGGGCCGCCAGGGTGAAATTTCTCCCAAGCCTGTTCTGCTCCCATCCCCCTCAATGAATATGTTTCTAGTTGAACACTGTAGAATAAACATAAACTCTCAAAAAGAAATGTTAACTTTTAATAAATATTCAAAAAGCGGTTTGAGTGAGTCAATTTTATAAAAACAGTTTGCTCTTTTAAGTATAAAACTTAATATAAATTTTAACTAAGATTTTACTTGTTCATTTAGATAAATATTGACGATTGCTCATAATAAAATGTGAATCAAAGCAAATATTGTATTCTTGATGAGTAGACTTTTGCTTCAAACATGAAAAGACTTATTATTCTTTTATTTTGAAATGAACATCAATGCAGACTGGCTAGTTATCCGCTGACATGCTCTAGGTAAAAGCCGAAGTTCATCGAAATAGTCCAAGACTATTCCGATTCTGTGGTGAGAAATCTTGTAAAACATCACATCTTCATCCTTAACAAAACTTCTAATAAATTGAACAACTAATTTTGAGCTTTGGAAGCCATTGAAACATGGCCCATGCTTATTTTAAATATCTGGTACGATTCGAGAAAAGACAAGTAAAATATGTTTTGAACTTTTTATTTTATTGAATAATGAAATTAAGAAAAAATCAGAAAAGATGAATAAATAAAATAAGCAAGAATAAATAAAAAGGAAGAAAAAAAAATAGAATACGAAAGAGGGAAACTAACTAATTTATGATTAAAGTGGAACAAACTAATTAATGGGTACGATTCTTCAATATTGATGGCACTCTTCGATTTTTGATTTGCATTTGCGATTGTGCCGACATTGTCCTAGAAAGCAAAAGCAGTAAATTTATTTACTGCCAAAATAATTGAGAATTATAGTGTCAACGAATAATCGACGATTCATGAAATACAATATCACTAGCAGTCTTTAAAAAATACATACCTGGTTTATTTTTTTATTAATGACATTCTATTCAACTATTGTTTTCACCTGCGCAAAATGACACATACGCTTCCTGGTGACATCAAAGATCACCAGTTGAAGGAATGATTATCAGTAAGCACATATTCACATACCTTGCTCAATTTAAACCAAACTATTACAGTTAACTCTAAGGTTTAAAAAAATACAAAATATCACTAATATAGTTGAAACAAGCATTCAAATCATGTATTTTACTTTAATCAAAGAAAATATTTACACCTAATTCCGTTATCGAATAATACATCACAAATGACTAGTTATCAACATGATTCTATACAAATATTTTTGTTAATTCAAATCAAGCATTTCCAAATAATTCCATGATAGAGTGATTAGCCGCAAAATAATAATTCTAACAAGCTTTCTATTCCAATATTTTCTTCAATTGAGAGCAAATATTTGTACTTAGTTTCATGAATTAGCAGCCCACGCCGGACAGATAATTGATAGGAAGACTATATTGAAATACTTTGCTGAACTGAAGCCAAATATTTGTACTTGATTGTATAAATGAGCAGCACACGACGTATGAATAATTGATACGAAGAGTATATTAAAATACTCTGCGCAAGTCGAGACAAACATTTGTACTGAAATACGTGGATGAAGAACATATGATGAATGACTAATTGTTAGTAAGAGTATATTGAAATACTTTCCTCAAGTCAAAGCAAACATTTGCACTGAATTGCATGGTTGAGGAACATACGATGAATGTATAATTGCTATCACGAGTATATTCAAATACTTTGCTCAAGTCGAATGGAACATTTGCATTGGACTCATGGTTGAGGAACATACCACAAGTGAATAATTCATACCAAGAGTATATTGAAATACTTTGCTTAAGACGAAACAAACATTAGAGGTTGTGTATATGGGTGAGAAACATTCGACGAATGAATAATTGATAAAAAGAGTATATCGAAATACCATGCTCGAATTGAAGGAAACACTAAATGTAGGCTCCATGAATGAGAAACATTCGACGAATGGATACTCGATAGTAGGAGTATATTGAAATATTTTGCTAGAGTTAAAGCAACCATTTGCAGCTGATTCCGTAGTTGAGGATATATCGCAAATGGCTAGTTTAAACAAGTCTTACATTCTTCTACTTTGGTCAACTTAAAATAAACATTTGGACTCGATTCCATCGTTCAGTGGCACAAGATAAATGAATAATTGATAGTAAGAGTATATTGAAATATTCTACTGAGCTTGATAGAAATATTAGCAGTTGATGCTATGGGTGAGGAGCAGACGACGAAGGAACAATTTTTAGTAAGAGTAAATTGCAACACTTTGCTCAATTGAAGGTAAACATTAGCAGTTGATTTCATGGTTGAGTAGCACAAGACAAATGAATAATTGGTAACAAGAGTATATTGAAATATTCTGCTTAGCTTGATAGAAATATTAGCAGTTAATTTCATGGGTGAGGAGCACACGACGAACGAATAATTGATACGAAGAATATATTGAAATATTCTGCTGAGCTTGACAGAAATATTAGCAGTTAATTTCATGAATGAGTGGCAGAAAACAAATGAATAACTGATAGGAAGAGTATATTAAAATATTCTGCTTAGCTTGATAGAAATATTAGCAGTTAATTTCATTGGTGAGTGGCACAAGACAAATG